CTTACCATCACTCCAAAATTAGCCACATAGCCAAGAACATATCCGAGAGGTAGACCAAAAATGTAATAACAGCCCAAGTTGATGTAAGCTACTATAGATTGCCACCCACCTCCAATGGCAACACCTGCAAAATGGCTCCAAAAAAATTACTTCAGGAGAGGAAGGAAACGTGATATCTTGAGATACGATGCAGCATTTAGATGCGGTATACGACATAATCAAATTGAATCAATACCTGATATCACTGGTTGGACACTATTGAGAAGCATTGTGATTCCAAGAAGGATTGAAAGGCGAGAAACTGCACGTAGCATAGTTTCGCTATGCGTAAAAATAATACCTAAATAATTTCTTGTTGCTAGGACAACCATCATGCAAAGAATCCCAATCAGAAGTGATTGAAAGACTGTGACATAGACAGAATATTTGGTTGCTCTTGGGCGTCCAAAGCCAAGCTCATTTGAGACACGAACACTGGAATAGAAAAAAATAAAAGAAAAGAAAAGGCAGTGACGTTGTTAGTGATAGTAGACAACATTTACTGCATTGTCTCTCTAATTGCAGTTTGTGCTATCTAATCTGTTCTCAAGCCAGCATTACAACAGGATTTGAAAATTTGCAAATGTCAATAAACACCATGGAAAAAAATAGTAATAAACTTCTTGCCAAATCAGTCTAAATTCTTCAATCAATTCGGACGAGAGAAAAATAGACGGACTTTAATTTAAGCACAATGGATCCCTATTTTCTCCAAGGTTCCATTTGTTTTCGACATCAAACATTTTCCAGCCACAAATGTTTTTAGGAGAAATTGTTTATAATTGAGCTTGATGAGAACAACATAAGAAGTGTCGATGAGCATCTCAGCTTCTTACCTTATAGCAGCATTGACTCCAATGAACAACATGGCCTGCCACCCATCAATGTTCATGCTGGAAGATTAAATAAAAGATTAGGATCTAAATTGAAATCCTAGAATACAAAAATATTGAGTCGAGGCTTCCAATAAATAATATTACAATCCTATAAAGTTGAAATGGTAGATGATTAGTATAAATTATAGTGACTTGTTAAATAACGACGATAAACCTCTCAACGATTTATTTTCTATTCCAATCAATAATTCATAACATTCTCATTGCTTGGCATACCATAAACTGGAAATGCTTGCAGCCACACAGACCTGGAGTTATCAACGACAAATTATTTAGATACACAATCAAAGTGATGAATCTATTAAAATCGACCGTTCATTGAAGAGAGCCAGGAAAATTCCATATACCTTAAAATTATTTCCAATTTCATTATGAAAGAAGGTTGTAGAAAATAGACTTGTTGAACTCACCAAATAGAAAGGGCACCAACTGCAGTCACGGCATTGTCAAGGTTTCCAGCAAGGACAATGATGCTCATCATATACCAAATCTCGAGGCAGAGCATGACGGCAGATGCAAGGGAGAGCCTCACAAAGGCCCATATATCATTAAATGCGGACCAAGAAAATCCCTTCCAACCATCCTTGCACCAACCAACCACATAACCAAATTGTGCAAAGGCTGTGATCCAACCTGTAAGGTCGAATGCTATGGCTGCACCATATGTTCCCCACCCAAATACATAAATGAAAAGCCAACATAGAAAAACTTGTGAAACCAATGCAAGAACCGCGATCCACGCAAGCACAGAAACTTTACTCTGGGCTTGAAGAAACTTCTGAGTTGGAAAAATGACAGCAAGGGAAAACAATTGAGGGAGAACCAGAAGTGTAAATACTCCTGCTTGATTTGCTATCTCATCCTTCTGTCCAAGGAGCTTCAGAATTGGAGTTGCAAACACGTAGAGTGGCACCTGGACGACACAAGTGGCGAATAGGATTATAATTGAGCGTTGCATGTAAATGCCAAGCATGTGAACTTGTCCAGCGCCAAATGCCTGACCAGCTAGCGTCTCAAGGGCACTCCCCATACCGAGCTAGACATATTGCAAAATAAGAATCAGGGTTTGTTAGTTTTGCCTCAGATTTCAAGATAAGGGTGCCAATGAATATTTTTCAAACACTGAATCATGAAAGAAAATCATCTATGATGACATTGATAAGAACAGAAAACCTGAAATGTTTTCTTAAGTTTCAGCAACATCTCTTAGCA